GTGGGCTGCCTTGCTTTTTTCCCCTTCAAGGCGGGAGTGCTTACTCCAGACGTGTGGAATAAAAGAGGTATTTTCTACCCAGTTCAGCCCATAATTGCCCCTATAAGCTGCTTATTCAAAATTGATAATGCAGAGGGAGAAAGGAAGTAGTGACGATGGAAGGGATGTCCTCCTCTTACAGAGAGGAGAGAAAAACCTGGCAGGCTGGGCTGGGGAAAAGGCACAAACAAACATCTGTTAGTCATGGAGGAAGGCACGACCCTTAGCCACTGCAATCCAGTGGGGCTCCAGTTGCTGTTCGTAAAGAATACAGATGATATGGAATTCACAGGAAGGTGTTAGTTCATTCTGGAAGTCTCTCTGAAATCCATGTTCTATTGGGGGAATGCCAGTGTTCTCTGGATCTATTGCAGTCAAATCTTTCTGAAATCCCCTAAAAAGCAGGTCAAGCAGCCCCCAGTTTTTCCCCTGGGATGACACCCCCTTAAGGGGAATGAACATCCCCTCGTGCAAAGATTTTCAGATTTTTTTCTGTTAAGTGAATTTGAGAAATAGGACTAGCAGAGAGGTGAAATTCCCTATAAAAGCTCATCTAATTCTTATGTTCAGTCTTGTCCTGATGGAGGCAGACTGGTACAGCCTTTAATTTGTGAGGTGTATGACTAGAATTAAAAATTTTTGAAATTGGATGGTAAATCCTACCAAAAAAAGCAGTTCAAACGAGATATGCACAGGTTTAAGAGGTTGAAAGTACAAATTTAATTGTATGTAATATCAACTATAATAACATTAAAACTTTGGAGACAGTTTTAAAGACCTAAAAATATTTAGTACCATAATAGAAGTGCTGAAGAATCAGATATTAAACATTTAAGGTCTATGTAAAGGATGATAAAAAGGCCTAGTTATTTTCAGGAGACTCAGAGCCCTAGCAGGAAAGCGAGACCATTTCACTTCTACGTGTTTCCCTGGATAAGTTGTGTCTTCAGTGAGTCTGCTGGAGTTAACCAAATTAATTTTTGTTCTGTAAGAATGAGCAAGTTATTTAATGTCTTGCCTATGGGGAAACTGAAAAAGGAAGCAAAGAGAAGGTCTTCCAGTTTGTACAAGACTTTTGTGGGTGTGTCAAGCACTAGCATCTGCACCGGCCTGAAATACTGGGTAACTTCTGTGATGGAAGGAAACAGTGAGACAATTCTGCTGAGGTGATTATGGCAGCTTAAGAAAACAAAACCATGAGCTGGTTGGGTTTATTTCTTCCCCTTGTTGATTACATGGTAATTCCCCACTGTTATACCACAGATGCCTATTTAATCAATGTCTTCTATTTTATTTTTAAACCTTAAAGATTGCAAACAAGGCATCTGTTAGTGCCTCTATCAATGTATCTTTGGAGTGCTACTGTCAAACAGTGGACAATGCAGAAAAATCTATTTATGCAATAGCAGGAGGGTACTGTTCCCTTGGGTTAATAGGCAGCCTGGCAGTCAATTCCTGCTGCCACACGTTCCCCCTAGCTTGTGTCAGAGGCTTACACTGATCCTCTGCACCCTGCAGCCAGCCAGTGCTAAGCTGATTTTGCTGGATCCTCTGGTATTTCATTCCTTCGGTCCTTCCCTGACTTCCATCCTAACCACAGCAAACAGTTCAGAGTGTCACAGCAACCTAAAGCGTGCCCCTGGAGTGAGTGCCAATTTGAATGAATGAATGGTATTATATTTGCCATCCGCTTTCCCAAGCAGAACGTGGCTTTATGGGCAACTAAATCAAAGATTTGGGGAAGAGGTAATCCGGATTGCACACATTCTCATTGCTGTTCTTCTGAAGTCCAGGGAATTCAGATTTCACTGGGTCCTAGGGGAGGAGGGGGCAATGTGGTAGAAATTAAGATGTTCTTGAGTCCAGCAATGTCATATTGCCAGTCTGCTCTAATTAGGTGTCTACCCTTGGATAAACAGTATCTTCAGTTCTTGCACCTTACAATTCCTTCTTGATAATATTGGTAGCAATTGTTATGGACTGGATGTTCAAAAGTAGCTTCTTACCATTTTGAGTTAAGAATCTGGGCAAAAACGTTTTCTGAAATCTACATCTAATAGACATATTTCTGCTCAGGATAACTGGGGGAAAAGAGAACAAACCAAAACAGAAAAACAACCCAAAATTTCCTCCCAGAGCAACTAGGATTTATCCTTAACAGGTCTAGGAGTCACGGTCCAGACTGACATGTAAGAGACAGCTACAGTCCTTGGGACCACAGTTTTCACAGACTTTTATAGTTTTTGGCTATCCTACTTTGGATTTAACCTCTATTTCCATGATTGATTCATCTGTTGGAGTCTCTGTATGTCCACACACAAGCAACAGTTTCACTCCCTGCTGGAGTAGTTAATGTAAGTTATCTCTTCATGGCTTTCCATACATGAGTCCTTGATTCAAGGCTAGAAATGCCTCCTGAGTAAATTCAGCAGAAGCTTGGATTTACTGGACTCAGAGGCTACTGTCAAAATGTCTCAGTTCTTCTCTCAGTTACTTTTTACAATGTAAGTGGACACTGTGAATTAAATTGCCCTCTCTCACTTGCCTCCTTCCAGTTTTCCCTTTGATCAACTAGTCCTTTCATAAGGAAACACCACATCCTATGTCCACGACATCAGTTAGGAAGGTGCCCCATCAGTATCATGGCAAGTGATACTAAGAGCCCTATGGCACCTTTGCAATGGAAAGCCATGGGAAGGTGACCAGGTCTGGCTGGGAAATCCTTCAGATCTTCCCTGACAGAGCATCAAAGGCAGCATGCTGACTTGAGGGTCTGTAGCTCAACTCCTGGAGAAGGTGAGCTATTACTGTTCTCATGTAAAGACTTGAAACATGGGAAATCCTTGTTCGCCTTATTCCTGCTGTGAGTCCACATGGTACGACTGCCTCTGTCCGAAGCAAAGCTTTTAGTCTCGCTTACCCGCTGTAGGATGTGGTCAATAATGAGGAATAGTAGCCATATCCAAATGAAAATACAGCTGGCAGGGTTACAAATCCTTAGGACATGGCATTTGAAGTGAATAATTTGAAACAAATATTTTCAGCTACACTAAGACCACAAGATGTGTATGTAGTTGTAACTCCCTTTGAAGGAATTGGGCAACGGGAACAAAGGAAGAATATTTTAAAAAAAATATTTTGAAAGAAATAATTTGAAGCTTAGATTTCTCACTTGTATTTGAATTGAATGTAATCATTAAGAAAAAAAACTGACAAGCTAGGCTGACATAATGTCTCTGTCATGCATTAAGAACTAAGAGCAGTACATCTATGCCAGTCTCCTACTTTCTATGTAACCTGCTAAAGAAACATCCCAATCAAGTTGTGTTCCAACTGGCTATAGCTGTCCAGAGATATATACTTTTTTATAGCTCTGAGCACAATCAAAAATGTTCCATGAAATATCTGAGCAGTCAAAAAACAAAAATGATGCCCTGGGCAGGCTAACCAGTTGTGTCACATTGCAGTAGGTGGGACCTTGGGTTGCACGTGTTCTAGGTTAAATGTGAAGTCAGCAGATGACATAAAACAGAGATTACACTTCAAAAAGTGGGCCTGAAGCATACTACATTGTCACATCTGTAATTGGAAGCTTCCTTAATCCTGTCTCTTGCCACTGTTAGAGATTTGCCACCAAAAGTAGGTCAGTTGCCCCTTCTGCAGTTTCAGGAACCAGTTTTGGGAAGATGAGATGAGACCACCAACCTAGAACGACAGCAGTAGAAAATTACCACCCATGGTCCAGAGCATAGATCCCTCTGTCTGCCTCACATTTTTCCATTGAACTCAGTCTGCAGATGCTTCACCTCCCAAGTAACAAAAGCAGAGATATGGATTTGCAAAGTGGCTTGGGATGCAAGTGGGAACACATTCATTAGCCTTGCTCAGGAGGGGAAGAAAACCTCTTCCAGAGCTGCCTTGGGGTGTGGGGAGCCTCATCTCCCAGGGACAACAGGGCAACTGTGACACCAAGTGCTATTGTAAGCAGGTGGTTGTGTGTGTGCTCCTGGAGCTGTTAGACTGCTTATATTTGGCTGCACAGATGAAGAATAGAAACAAATCAAGTTATCGAAGATGTTGTACAATGTTATTTTACTTACTCTTCTCCATTTTATCCACAACGCCCACAGTTAATCCTGTTTCTTGAAAAATATGTACAAACCTTGTTCCAGTGGAAGAGGTTTTCCCCAGGTCATTTGGTGAATCACGGCCTTCCCAAAGTAATTTTTTTTCCCTGACAAAAGGTCTTTCAGTGAGGCTGGTGTACCATTCTCGCATCAGAGAGATGAGCAGCAGCATCATTTCTGTGCTGATGAACTCATTTCACCTCTCCAGCAGTGCTGTTGGTGTAAGACTACAGGACTTCCACAGTGATCCACATGAGAAGGCCCAGTCCCACAGTGCCTTTCCCTCAGGGTACCGGAAATCACTAAAGGAAGCTGTGAAACTTGACATGTGTAAATCATCCTTGTTGTCTGGGAATCAGTGATAAACAGAAGTCCTAGGCCAGAGAGACCTGCCATTTAAATGACACTTGATTTCCAGCGAGGCATTTTGTGAAAGAAGGACTTTCTTTTCTTACAAACCTGCTGCGTACCCCTTGCATCAGATGGTCCCTGGTTCGTGTTCCTTGAAAAACAGTGTAACTTACCATCGGTTTGTAATGAATTACCGCTTCGCAGTCTCCTACCCCATGCTGCTCCCAACTTCTTCCCTGCTCGGCACCGGCGTTTCAGGGCCCGGGTCACCCTGCTGGAAGATGCCCGCTGCGGGCTTACCATTAACTCGCCCCGTGCTGCCCCTGGTCCCGTCGAGGCCCCGAGGCAGAGCCGCCCCTCATCCCTTTTCGGAAAAGGTTTTAAAGCAAAGCCGCTGCTAAAGCTGTGCCCGGCCCGTTTCAGCGCCGCCGCCCGGCGCCTCCCTCCCTCCCTCCATCCCTCCATCCCTCCCTCGGCCCAGCCATGAAGCCGCACTTCAGCATCGCCGCCGCCAAGGGACTGCTGGAGAGGTGCGGGATCCGTGGTGGGCACCAAGGGAGCGGGCGGCGGGTCCGGTGGGTCCGGGCGCGGATCTGCTGGCGCTGTGCTCGCAGGGATAGTCGGTGTTCCTGGAGGGGTTCCTGCTCGGGACGGGTTCTCCCAGCACCCAGGATCCCAGTGGGAGATGGGGGCAGCCACCTGTTTCACCCCACACTGGTGTTGTTGAAGCCGTCCTTCATGCTAACACCATCACGGGGAGGATGCAGTGAGTGCCTGGTTCTCCCGATGCTGTCCTATCACAGGGACAGAGTGCTACTTGAGGGGAACCTATGTCTGCAGGATGAACTCCAGCAGCAACTGAGAGACAAATCCAAAAAAAAAAAAAGCCAAGGGATGTGGGAGAAAGGTATGGTAAACTGGCTTAACGGGAAAATATTGGCCAAGCAGCAGCACCTGTCAGCTCCAAGTGTGTCTTTCCCTTGGCCTCTGGTAGAGATGTGCAGCTGCTTAATTTGGGTTGTTAATCCCATGAACAACTCTAGGAAGTGTGCAGAGATCAGTCCAGGCAAATTGCACAGTCAGTTGCAGGATTTTTTTGGACAAGCCAAGGGTTAACTAAGTGTTGGATCCTTTAGCCCAAATTGCCTAAGCACATACCTCAGCAGTGACCCTTTCCATACAAGCAGTTACAAAACAGCTGGAACAGAGGCTTGGAGTATTCCAAGGAATAGTGCGCATCAGGGAATAATGTACAGCTCCAGCCAAGTCAAGTGGATTATTTCAGAGGGAATCTGCCTGTTTATCTCTACTTTTGTTTTGTTGTATGTTGAATTGCCTCTGTCCCTTTCCCCTCTATCCTTCCTCTGGCTTTCTCAGGAAAGCAAAAGGGAAAATGTGATGTTGAGCTTTTCTGTGAAAGCAGAGTGGCTGCCAGCCTTCGCTTTCCTAGACTGATCTCTCTGGCCATTGCCAGTCCTTTACTCCAAGTGAAGTCTCTCCCAGCTTTTCCATGAGTCTGGGTGCACACTGTCATCCTTGCCTCAACAACCCTATTTTAGGGCCCTTTCTGATGGACACTTCTCATGGTGGTGGGTTAGGTAGGTGCTTCTTCTCTTGGCAGCCTCCTTGCTGTGCTCTCAGTTGCAGTGATAGGACCACTCTGAAGCAGTTTTTAAGCCAGTAAACCTGGATGGGGATCAATCCATCTCTCCCAACTCTCTGTGACTCCACAAGCAGTTGGTGTAGCACATGCAAAAGGCAGTTGAGTGGCAGCAGGGCTGCCATTAGAATCAGTGTTTGCTGAGGTGTGCTCTTGGAGTCACAGCCCTGCAGTTCTGTTCCCTGTGGGACTTCTCACAGTAGTATTTTGCTTTGGTTAATGGAGCATTTTGGATAACCTATGTGAACTAATAAACCAGCTTATGTATTTGCTTCCTTTTTTAAAAGGCCTACCGTTTCTTGCTCAACAGGTTTTAACATCATTATTAGTCCTCTCAGCAAAATCTTTCCCTTCCTGCATCCTCTGCAACTGACAGTTTACCTCTTGCTGGGCTTTACAACTTATTAGCTGACTTTTATTTTCAGGTCCTTCACTCCTGCTGTTGGTAGCTCCCACACTTGGTCTTGAAGTTTAAAACTGCACTGCTGACTCTTAATTGCCTTCCCTATACTTATGTGAGGTTGCTTATCTGCAGTTATTATCTCCTGCTCTGATTATTTTGCTTAAGGTAATCTGTTAAGGTAGAAAAATGCACACATATGAGAAGTCTTAAACTCCAGGATGCAGTAATTTTTTAATGTTCCTGACCAGATCACACCTAATGACCACAAAATCCCTCAGACACAACAATTCTCTGATGGATGTAGGATGTGAATTAAGAATAAGCTTCCCCTATGGAGAGATCTCTGCATGATTATACTTGAGGGTATTTCTCAAACACTACTCTGGAGGATCTGTCTATGGCATCTGTTGGATGTGATGCTGAACTAATTGTGCCTCTTTCAAGGTAGCAATTTCTAAAGCACTGCTATTCTACCTCTCCTAACTTGTGATGCAAAATCAAGGCACATAATTCTTATTTGTGATGCTGTGCTTTGTCTGCCCTTTTTCTCCTGTTGTGCGTTTTCCTATTTCCCATCACTTTATAATCTGAGAGTGCTTGTGTTGTTTCACACTCCCAAACCCTGTTTCTCACTGTCTCCCAGAGCAGTTGTTCTCTTCAAAAGGACTGTCTGAAGGGAGCAGCTATTTGGTGGCACTGAGCTGTGATGGAGCATATGAGGTTTTGGATACACTGTTGAATGGGGAGGTGCAGATACACTGACTGTGAGTAATTTACTTCTGGGTGCCTTACTTCCAAATGGGTTTCTCAACCTTAAGCTGAGGACCCAAGGCAAATGGTATAGAGGAAAGTGTGAACGACCAAGAATGATGTATTAAAAGAGATCTTGCTTAAAATGAGTTGCTCAGGCAGGGCTGGCAGAAATGCTGAGGAGAGCTGGGCAGCTTTAGCCCTTCTCCTCTTGTGGGGATAGGCACTTGGCTGTGGATTGCCAGAAGGTCTTGTCTTGGTCTGAGGATTTACAACCTTGAACTTCCTCTGGGAGATAAGGCTTTGTATAGGCAGTAAGAGGGTCCAGAGGTGGCTCTGCCTTCTCCCCTTTTGCCCCTTTTTTTAGGAGCTAGATCATTCAGTTGTGGGAAATCAAAATTTCCTTCCCTCCTCTGTCTTGAGTATTTAGGTTTTAAGTACTAGCAGTAGGAAGGACAGTTGAGGGATGAGTTTCCCTTTGCTTGGGATGAACCCCACACACTAGGGCAGCCCTGTTTGCACTTGCTGAACTGGGATTTGTGTAGCCGTTCTGTGCAAATGACTGCGAATAGCCTCGGGTGCAGTGTCAGTGGCAGATGGATACCATTTGAAGGATCTGACCTCTGGCCTGGATTCACCCAAGGACAGCCAGGCAGTGCTCTGTACTGTAGTCATGCTCTTCTCTGGCTTTAGTTCTCTGGGGACTGCACACTGATCAGGCACCCCTCATAGCAGAGCTGTGGGGCTTTGTTCTGCTTTATTTACGGAGAGGCAAGGCCCTCTTGCAAGAATAGCTAAGTCACAGAAGCTTCAAGAGTGAGGGTAGAGATCACCAAGACAGCAGTTTGTACATTAGAAATGTTACTGGATTTCCTTGAAATCAAACAGCTGCTGAAAATCCAGGCTCTTCCTGGTTTCTGCCTTTTGATGTTGTGTTGCTTGCATTTGGGTTTTCAGTTTGGCAGCCACTTAGTGAGTCCTTCTCTGAAGAAATATAATAATAATTAACCTACTAAAGGAATATCATCATTAACCTCCTTCTGTTGTGGGACTGAAAGGAACAGATTATTTCTTGCAATTATTGCAGTATTCACTGGGTTACTTCAAGTCAGGGAGGAAATAGGAAGTGTCTTCTGTAGGGTTAAGAGTGAGATGCAACACTGATGGATTCTGGTCAGGATGTCAGACTCTACTGAGTCTCTTAGCAGCATCTGTGATCACTATAAATGACTGTTGGGGAAATAGTACTAAAGAAAAATGTGTTAGTCATGATAAAGCAATTGGTAAAAACTAATTAAATATAGAAAATGTCTTTTAAAGCTTCATTTAGTCAGTCATGTACCAGAATGCTCTCATATCTTCAGTTGTTTGACAATTTCTGCATAAATACATTTTTATTTTCACATGGAACATGTGTAAGCATTTTTATCTTAGAATACTCTCCTTTTTTTTAATATTTAATCAGATGACTGAGAAGGAAATGCCCATAGGCCTGTTCATTCTGTATATAATCCATATGTAATAGCTGTATAGTTATAATGCTGTTCTATCTTTTCAGTTTAGCACTTTTGTGTCTGTTGCTCTGTCTGACTTTGGTATCTGCACACCTCCAGTGTGACCCTGGAGGAAACACCTGATCTAGACAGCGTTGGCAGGACCTCTCACCAAAAGCCAAACCTATGGGATTAGACATAAGTAGGATATAATTTTGGTCAACTACACTTTAAAACTGATATCTCCTGCTGAGGAGGGGAATATTCATTGCAGAAAGACAAAAAAGAAACAGCCACAACTATGACCTGTATCTTTACTCCTCATTTTGGAGATACAAGCTCTTAGAGGATAAAACTGTCATATTTAGGGAAGCTACTCTATCTGTTTTAGGTGGAAATCTTGAATGAAGTCTAAGTACCTCTTCCACCAGGTTGGAACATCCTGTCTGGGCTTTTAACACCATACACAAATACATGCTTAAAGTTTATGGGCATTTTCCTTTAATTCTTTGAGATGTGAAAAAGTGTAATTGTTTGTGAGAAGTTTCTCTTTTCTGTGGCCCAAATCCTGAGGATGCACAATTGCCTTTCAAGAAACTTACCCAGCAGCAATGAATTAATTATTTTTTGAAGTAGGCTGGAGTCTCAGCTTGTACAAACTGATGATAACAGACAGCACCACTTCGTGTAGGTGAGGCATGGCCTGAACACAGAGGGAAGAGAGAGGACCTCCTTGTCGTCAGACTCCTTCCTGGCAAATTCTTTTGCTGTATCTCCTCAGTTTGCCTGCCTGTAGAGCAGAGATAAAAATTTTCAGTCCCTGGAGGAAGATCATGCATGTGAAGGGCTTTGAAGATAAAAACCACTCTGTTGCTGTCAGCTTTACATACCAAACCAAAGCATGGAGTGTTAGATAACTCTTTTACATTGTGTATTTCAGAGTGATTCACACATATCTAATAATCAGGAACTTGGAAATACCAGTGTGTTGCCAATGTAGGGAAAGTGGAGTTGTGAAAATACACCTCACTTCTGTTTTTAGATAACAGACAGAAGACAGCTATTGCTAATTCTTTCAGTAATAAACTTTTTTTCCCTTCACACTTCAGTTGCTGGAGTCATGTGAAAGACTTGGGCAGCAGAGGCCAGAGGGGAGAATGTCATCTTTCACGTGATTTAGTGACACTAATTGCTGAGTTGAATACTGGTGCATAAATTTAGTCAGTAGTAATGTCTCAGCATTCTGTAGGGAGTCTCATTTTACTGATCAGATGACACATCATTTTGATTTAGGTGAAAGAATGTTTCCAGGCAAACTTGCTCTATTTTGATGTGTTTTATAATGTGCATTTTGAGAAGGTAAACATAGTTTGAGATAATTTGCCTATAGTATTTTTATCTTCCAAGTGACCAAGTGCTGCCTAAGCCTATATATTGGAGCAGCCTGATGGTAATTGTAAGGTAGTGAAATTGTGGTTCTCTAGTACTTTTTGGTCTGTTTATAAATGAGGTAGGGTTTGTACAGAGACATTATGTACATATTAGCCAGCTGATATAGTTGGAGAAAGAATCAAACTTTCAGACAGTTTGTGTTCCTGAAAGATTCTCTGATTTGAGTTTGGGTTTTTTGTTTGTTTGTTTAGTTGGGTTTTCTGGTTTTGGTTTTTTTCTTTGTCAATATTAGATGATCAGATAAATGTTACCACCTCTCTCAGACAAAATAATAGAAGCCTCTGAGGTAGCACAAGTCAAGGGCAAAAGTCACCAGCCAGTAAAAAGTAGTTCTGTGGGTACCATCCACGGTGGTAGTGGATCAAGGGTTGGACTTGATGATCTCAGAGGTCCTTTCCAATCCAGCTGATTCGATGATTCTATGAAAGGAATCCTGTGTGAACATACTGGAAAGAGAAGACATTTGTAACCAGATCATATTTGTCCATGAAGTGTTTAAGACCTAGCTGAGAAGGTTAATGCAATGTTAATTTTCTGATCTGGAACTCAGAAGTGGTAAGACTATAAAAATGAGGACCCCACCAAAAAAGGTTGCTCATTTGGGGTGTCTTCTGGTGGCTGCCCTGACAAAGGCTCTGCCCTTGCTGTGAGCCCTGAAGGGGGTGCTGAGTGGGTACCCTGTGCCCCTGTGCCTTCATGTCTTGCTGTCAAAACAAGAGAGCACTGAAAGCTCCTTGGAAACAATGATCGCTTCTTCATCCATTTGAAGCTTCCCTTTGTCTGTTTTGCAGCTCAGGCAGCTTTTTGGGAGTGCTGTGCCTGCTTTCCCTCCAAAGTTTTAATCTGGCAATGACCAAGTCAATGGCAGATGAGAGACAGTCTCAGCTGGAGCAGTACCTTCAGAATGGTAAGCTTGGCTATAACGATGTGATCAGCTTTTGTATGTAGGGCTTAAACCTTTGAGAATGTGTCTACAGTTGTGGCTGCAGGGTGTTTTGCCTTCTATACTGAGCGGAGTAAGGGTGTATCTAAACACAGGCCTGTCCTGGCTGTTGATTCACTGGCTTTAGAGCAGCAGCTTATCATAGTTCTCTCATTTCTGAGGCAGCTGCCTTTCTGCAGCTTTCCCAAAACATGAGTGCAGTTTCACACTGAACAGCCTGCAATCTGTCCATTCTCTGTCCTTCCAGACCAGTGAGCTGAGTGACCCACCCCTGCTGCTTCACAACTGCCAGAGCTGATGAGGGACCCAGTGTGGGGCAAAGAGTGAAGCAAAAAGAGACAGGCACTCAGACAGGTAGAAGTGTAATATGGACCTGAGTTCTGCACAAACCCCTTCCCTTCAAGGGTTTCCAGGAAGACTTGTGAGAATTATAACAAGAGCTTGTAGAAAAATTATATATCGGGTGCAATATGTTGTGTTATAAACCAGATCCTTATGTTATAAACACAGGATCCCTAGAATGCATCTTGTGAGTTTCATGTAAGCCAAGGGGAAAAAAAAAAATCATCTATTTCAACTACCTGAAAGGGGCACGTGAGGGGATGAGCTTTAACAAGGTGTTATAGCCTCTGGCCTCAGATACTTTGTGCCAAGACTTAGAAAACCAAAACTCAAGATTAGTCTTTAATATTTTACTTAGTGCTTATTTCATATTTTTCACATGAGTATTCAACAGTTTCTTTTAAATTTACTGGAAATGAGTGACCATGGAGTTACACGGCCAAGAATCTTACTGAGTAATTTCTCTGGAAGAATAACAACATTACATGTATTTTGCCCTGTTCATAGCTTCAGTGATTTAACAACAGACTGATAAAGGGAGCTGTGCAGAAAACAAAGGATGGGTAAAGTAGCAATGACTGTTTAACCAATAGTCATGTTGTATACATCTTGTTTCAAGACACTAGCCATATTTTTCAGCTTTTTGATAAGTTTGGTTTCCTCCCTCCCCATTTTCCTCCTGTTTTTCAGTTACTTTGGATTTAAATATTACCAATAGCAATGTCCTCATAGATTTTTCTTTTTTTGGAAAGCTACAGCAGGTAAGTTTTGAATATTTCCGTCAAATAGTTTGTATGAAAGAGCTGAAATATTATCCTACCTCCTGAGTTCAAGGTTCCTTTGTTATCTTCCTTTCCTTGTGTTCTTAGCATATTGGTCTCTCTTGTAAAGCAGCGAGTTCTGATGACAGAGTGCTCTCTGTGAAGCCTGGGTGGCAATAATAATAGTATTACTATTGTTTTTTTCTCCGTGTACAAACTTGTTTCTCACGTGGAAAGAACTGCTTGCTTTGTTTTTATATCCTGTGGCATATCTGGTGAATCTTTTCCCTCTAAACAGTTCCCAGAAGAGTCTTTGTGAGAGCTCAATAGAAGGATTACACACATTCTTGGATTTTGCAACTGTAAATGCTTTTTGGTAGTGTCAGTGGTTTGTACTGATAAGTATATTGATGACTGCTGTGAAAATGTCATGTTCTCTTATCTTGCACTTGTAGTGATGGGCAGAATCTGGCATGTATTTGGGTTTGTTGCAACCTAGATGACTTTTCAAACCATTTTAATGTGGTCCATGGCATGTATGATCTTTCTCTGACAGGTTTGGAGCCTTGATAACTATTGCTTGTGCCTGACTATTGCGAGGTGCTGTGAGTCCCTTTTCTTCCCTTAACACCTTTCCAGTTCCTGTGGTTCTTATGAGACAGGAGTGTTTTGGAGCAGGTGGGTGCAGTATGACTATGACAGCATTTTTAGGGAGGGGATGCTGGTTTAGTTTTCTGGGAGGTGCTTGGTGTGCCATGGTAACCTTGTTTTCAGTGAATCATTCTGGAGAGAGGGCATGTTTCAAAGGACCCAGTAAGAGGTTCATATTTTGAGAACTCTTCACTTGCTGTGTGTGATTAAGGTTTGTAAGGGGAGTTCAGGAAGGCTACAGAAAATGGTATGAACGTGCATTCCTAACAAATTCTAGAAAGGTTTTTCCTATATACTCTGAAAACAGAAAGATACCATTTATTTACAGTATCTTAAATTCAGATGTATTGAAGTGCTAAAGACAATGAATGAAAAGGCCCTTCCTGATTTCTGTAGTGAGAAGCAGTCTCTCTTCAGTTCTGATCCAATGACTGTTATAGCCCTAGAGATGACTCCCAGCAATTACTGTCGAGTCTTAATTAGTCTTGATGAGACTGATAACAGGTCTGCTAAAGAAAGTTAAATCCATCAGGAATGCCTGCAATTTACCCTGTGACACTGCCAACAGACTTTTTTATTTTTTTAAACAAAGTTTTGGCAGGAAATAAGTCTTAAAAATGTATGTTTGCAGGGCTTCAGCATGTCTTTTGACATGCCAGTATTGTGTATTTCTCTTAACACACCATTAGAAACGTCTTTGTATATTTATTTTTTTCTTTACTCCAGGCCTTTTTGGTGAGGAGGGGTGATTTAATAAGTAGATGTGTAGTACGAGTTTTACAGGTTATGTACATAAACGTATGTATATGAAAGCATGTGATGACTGTGCTACCAAAAGCAGTCAGTTATTTTGTAGAGGTCAGGGCAGGCTTTGAATTATACCTTAAATGTTGGAGCAAGGTCAGTGCATTCTCAGGACATAAAAGTAACCCAAATTTCTGTTCTACAATACAATGGATTTTCATATAAGATGTTCAGGCTCCCTGCTTGGCAAAGACAATAGTTCTTCAGCTTTATTTGTTTACAAGTTAAACTTAAAATGATTGTGCTTACATAAATAGATGCTTCATAATACAAATAGCAGTGGTGCTTTATGTGTTCTTTCCTTATGGCAAAGAACAAACACCGAAGAGAGATCAAATAACTTTGTGAAAGGCAGGAGTGCATCCACTGTCATTAGCTGTGCACAGTTCCTTTAATTGGTGTGACTGACAGCTGAATAAGTACTCATTTTGGCTATTAAAGAATCTTGCTCAACAACTGGACTTTGTTGTGCATATTCTAGTATTTATTAGGACACCATAACTTGAGAGATGTTTTATGGCAGAGTGACAAAATTTCTGTAACAGCATTGAAAGACACGAGGTGAAGTTCATCTTTAAAGCACCTCTGTGCTGTTCTTTCCTTCTCCGTTGCTGAAGATGTGTAGGCAGCACTTAGTACATGTAGCCTGGGAGGGCAAACATACCGAAGGTTTCCATGTTACTGCTACCTAGTGTTAAAACCAGGCATTACCCCAAACCTATTCCTGTTTGCTACACTGCAAGAGGGATGGTTAGTGATCATCCCTCACTGAATGTTCAATGTCCCATTGTTAAACTCAGCACGTGATCTGTAAATTAAGAACTGTGTAGGTATGGCCATCTGATTAAATGCCTACCCAAAATATACTCCCAATAGTTCCCACGTGGTAAAGTTGCTACATGACTTGTAAACTCAAAGGGGTGATATTCACATGTGAAAGTCACCCCTGCACTATCTATTGCCATATGTTGTTTCCCACTACAACTCTTTCCAAGGCGTATGGGGAGAGGGCTTAAGGAAATTTCAGACCAAATGAGTCTTTTAGCCTGAGCAGGATCTGTTCAGATTCCAGGTTCAGTCACTGCAGCCAACAAGGAACAAACAAATAAACATTGTTTATAAATATAACAAAAGAGTTCAATCACAATGATTGAGCACCACTAAAATATGAAGAAGTATGTTTCTTTTCTGCCAATGACCTGGACTGACTTTGAGTAGTCAGTCTTGGCTACCTGAAACAAGTTAGTGCACACCTGTACAAGCAACCTAACAGCTGAGCTGATGTGGGAGAAGTGACAGGGGGACTGCACTGCAGGTGGTGATGAATAGAAAGCAGTCAGTCACTTTTCTGCCACCACAGCTATTTACTGAGCACAGATCTGTATGCAAGACAAACCAGTGCAGCTTTTATGATAGAAACTTTCACTTTTAATAGAATGAGAAGATAGGAAACCAGAGGGGAATGAACTTTTTAGGCTAGGGGTCTTTTTTTCCCTAAAAATTCCACTTCTGACTTCATTTCACTTTCACTTCTATCTTTTCCTATGAGAGAGAACTGTTCTCAGAAAACCTGCTAATACTTACTTAATTTTATTTGTTTGTCCTGACCATATCTAACAGGGCAAACTTTCTAGTTTTGGACAAGCCCATGTAGGTTAACCCTGTTTTTGCCTGGCACCACCCTTACCTGTTGCATAGGTTATAGAGCCATACTCTGGCTGTTGCCCCAGTAACCTGATCTCATGGGAGAAGTTATCAGGGGACAGCAGGACTCCTAACACAAAGCTTGGCAGAATAGATGCTTTGCTCAAAACAAATATTGCTAAAATATTTACCAAGACTATCGTATAGTAGATTTGAACAACCTAACCCATAACTTCCCTGCCTCTCCACTCTGCAAATTTGGACAGTGACCAAGCTGGGGAGACAGATTCAGTGTAGGCCTTGCTACATCCAGCTCCTAAAGACAAATGCTGTGGTTCTTGCAAGATGCCATTAACAAGAGGACACCCTGTGCCTGTGTTGTCTTCTCCTTTTTCATCAGGAGAAAGACAGTAAAAGCAGGTGCATACATCCCTATCAGTCTCACTTTAATGCAGCTCATGTATATCATAGAATCACAGAATCATAGAATAGATTGGGTTGGAAAAGACCTCCAAGATCACTGAGTCCAACCCCTGATCCAACTCCAATTACTGTATCATGGCACTAAGGGCCACGTCCAATCTCTGTTTAAAAACCTCCAGGGATGGTGAATCCACCACCTCTCTGGGCAGGCCATTCCAATGCCTGATCACCCTCTCTGTAAAGAATTTCTTCCTAACATCTAACCTAAACTTCCCCTGGCAGAGCTTGAGCCCATGTCCCCTTGTCCTGTTGGTTGCCTGGGAGAAGAGACCAACCCCCACCTGGCTGTAACTTCCCTTCAGGTAGTTGAAGAGAGTGATGAGGTCACCTCTAAGCCTTCTCTTCTCTAGACTAAACAATCCCAGCTCCCTCAGCATCTCCTCATAGGACTTGTGCTCAAGTCCCTATCCTTGAATGTAACCTGAGATCATGGTCTGTCTCTGTGTTAGGCATCCGTGGGGTAATGTGGTGTATTCAGGATGCAGCTGTGAGGACAGTCAGTCATTATGCCCTTATGAATAAAATTCAGACATATTTCCTTGCAGCAGCAGAGATTTGGAGTTTGTGATCTAGGAGTCTGACCTTTTCCAGTCTGTGTTGCTGGTGAACAGTAACCTTTAGCATGAGAAAAATTATTCAGGTGTTGATGAAAGGACAGATGAAAAAATTCTCAGCACTTGAGCAAACAAAGCAGATCAGAGCCTGATAACAGGCAAGAATTAGTGTGGTCCTTCACCAAAGGACTCTGATGTAAGGTGGTTTTGCTTCTGAAGAAGAAGCATGAGGCCAAGGATTGAATATCATAAGAGAGCTGTGGTGTACATGCTATTGAGAGTGTAGGTAAAATGTAAGCCAGAAATCTGCAGGTGTTACCAGGAATCAAAGCTGGTGTGATGATAGGCTGCATTTTCTTGGCTAGAGCCCAGGTCTTTGGCCATGAAGCCTCTGCTTCCCTGCACTTGTAACACACCATTTGTGCATGCAACGGAGGAATGCATGTTTATAACATTCCCCTGTGCTCACTCGCAGTACCTCAGGAATGTGTTTGAATGTGTATGTACACAAGCAAAAGTCAGACTGAGTCTCTAAGATTTCAGCACTGCCCTGAAAATGTTATTTCATTCATATCAAACTAGGTTGTGGTTCTTATTTATGAATTTCTATTTCAAAAGTGCAGCTGGACACAAAACTGAATTTCATGTGGGAAGTTCACATACTTTCAGACTTGTGCCCTGACTGGGGGAAGAACTTTCAGACATAGAAAGTTCTGAAGAATTTTAACTCAAGGATGCCTGTTTTATTTTTGTTTCAATATTAAAATACAATTCAGTCTCCTGACCTGCTGTTCTTTTCAAATATGTTATAATAAGGACTCTCATTCCCATCCTCTCTCCTTTTATGGTCTACGCTTTTTAGCTGAGCAAGAAATCCACTGAGAGCTTGCTGAGGATTCAGGTTGGTGTTGATTTCTGCTAAAAGAAGATTACTTAACTTTAAGTTTTCTAAAGAAAAAATAGGAGGAATAAAAAGATATCTAGATATCTTTCTTCCTATGGTGGGGGAGGGCTATATAATAGATATATTTTGTGGGCCTTTTTATTTGTTTGCATTTTTGTTGGTTTTGTGATTTATTTCTTTTACTTTCCTTATAAAAACTTTTTTTTCATCAAAACTGAAACCCAAAGAAAATGTCTCACCAGCTCTTTATTGTTATGTTAATGACTGAGCTATGCTTCAAGCTACTGGGGCAGACAAGTGAGCAGTAGGCAGCAGCTCTAGATGTTTCAGGAGATTCTACCATAGCTAACAGTAACAGCGTTAAGGGAATATTCAGATAAACAATATTAAGGGATAAAAAAAAAGTGTCCAATTCTAGTTACATGGCACATTTCCTGAATTTCAGGAGCAAAAGTGTAGCAAACATGAAGAATGCTACTGAACATGTGCTGTTGCCAAAATACAGGGGGTTTTATGTTGGTACCTGTTTTGAGACAATGACTCAACTGCTTTTTCCAAAATTAAAATAGCAGCTTGGGAGAAGACCTGAACTTTTCTGACCCGTGCTGCAAATTTATGTAAAAAGTATTTTTACATCCATTTTGGAAATGGTTGGGATTGCCATGTGTGCTTACTGCATGGATTATTGCTAACACTGGTAAATGCTTTTCCCTTTGTTTTTGTATTAAACTTACGCTGGATTCTATTGTGTTATTTTAGGGACATGTCTGTATTTGTATTTCTTCACTTAAGTGTCTTCTCCTGCCTTACAGACTGCACTGTTTCCTCCTTTTGTTTTATGTAAGTAATTTTTTTTGGTCTCAACAATACTTTGCTGATAAGAGGCTAAACACAAATATTTATAACACTGAACAATGTGTGGAGTTTCTGGCATGGACAGTTCTGCCTTCTGGGTTAAAAGCACGTGACAAAGGTGGCAGGAGGAAAATCCCCAAACACAGGAATTTAAGATTGTTCTTATTTTTGGTTTGCTGTGTCATAACCTCGCTAAGAGAATCATAGAATCATAGAATGGTTTGGGTTGGAAGGGACTGTAAAGATCATCTAGTTCCAATCCCCCTGCCATGGTCAGGAACACCTTTCACTAGACCAGGTTACTCAAAGCTCCATCCAAACCAGCCTTGAACACTTTGAGGGGTAGAGCATCCACAGCTTCTCTGGGCAGTGCTTCACTACCTTCACAGTAAAGAATTTCTTCCTAAAACCTAATCTAATCCTACTCTGAGTTTAAAACCATTCCCTCTTGTTCTATCACTACACGCCCTTTTAAAAATTACAGTAATAACAAGTTGGAGATAAGAAAGTAGTGAATTTGCCCCCAAGACCATGAAACGAACATGTACTTTCAGTTCAGTAGAGTCAAATAAGATAAAATAAAGCAGTTTTTAAAAGGTGACTGTGGAAATGACTGGTTTAAGTATTAAACAGTGATACTTAATGTGACCATTTTAGATGGGACTTTTAGATTTTATTTTCTCTAACACATAATTTCTTGTAGATCCTCAAATGAATCTGCTGCACAGTGTTCCTTGAGAATTCAAACAATTCATGCCTGGAAGTATTTGAAACTTTAGATCATGCTTTATTCCCTCATGATTGCTGAGTAGAGAAGTGGCAAGTAGGGGTAGTGTGCTGTGAGATGTGACTCCCTTTGAGTGGCAGAACGGTAAAGGGACCTCTGTGTCTTTGACCTTGAGCTGTCACAGGGGATGAGGTGGCCTCTCTCCAGGTTGTGAAAGCTGCAGGGGTGGCAGTGAGGATCTGACAGAAGTAGATGCATAAGGTCCTCCGTGTCCTTTTCCTGTGAGAGCTTCATCATTAGCAGCACGCACCCAGAAGAACTTACTGTGGTGCATGAACCCTTGCACCCTCCTTCAGGCCCAGCACTGCTGAGTCCCAGGTGGTAAACTGGCTGTAGAGTGGCCTGCTTGCTCTTTGTTGAGAATTGTGTCTTTATCTCATTTTGATGTTTGCATCACCCGTTTGTTCCATGCTTACACATACATTTTTATCCTGTGTGAAATGTTTCATACCAAAATATGTACAACAAAGGCATGTGTGATGAAGTGTTTGCTCCTTCCATTTGAGGGAGGTAGTAAAGTATTCAAGTAAGCACAGGAGATGTTCCTCTATGTAAAAGAAAAAGTGGCTTTTGTATCTCCACAGAAGCAAAGTAATGCTTATTTTAATTAAGAGGAACAACTAGACCTATCTCCTGGATAAAAGGAAACTAGTTTAGGGATAAAGATTAAATCTTTGAGGATCCCTAAAAGGACTTCAGACAGGACATTGGCTAATGCCTTGAGAAGAGGTTCTTTTGTTCTTTAATACATACAAACAGGTGTGTGGGGGCATGCAGCTAAGTGAAATACTACGTATCAGGAAAACCTGTGGGAAGACTGTTTAAATAAAAAAGATTGTTATGATTTGGCTTTTCTCAAGGTGTTTTCCCCCCCACATACCATTCTACAAACTTGTGACATGTTCTTAATTTTCAGATGTTGTGGGGAAAAAACCCAAATCCAACCCTTCTTGTTTGTATTTGATCTTACCTTGAAATAACTCTTGAGCCAGATTTCCTAGAAAGGGTGGTCTTTCTGTCTCAAAAAAATTTTACAAATCTGAGCTGAGTTAGTTGTTTGCATGTTCTCCAGGGTACACTAAGAGGGGTAAGCTCACAGCATAAATCTCAGGCTCTGTCACCCTGCTCTTGCTGACATTGCAAGAGTTGGGAGATGCTCCTATGAACAGGCACTATGAAGACTCTTCAGGAAGATACCAAGAGTACTTGAAACCTAAGTCTCCCATATCTTCTGCCAGGCTAGCCAAGGTGGATACAAGAAATTAAAATTTAATTGTGTTCAGTATGTACAATTACTGCATTTTCCTCCACTATGATTCTCAAGAGAAGTAGCTCTTCTTTATTAATAAAAGTGTTAGAAGGACCACTGCTGTGCTCTGATACAGGGTGGTCAACAGAAAGAGGAGCTGCAGTGGTTTGAAACTGGGGCACTGTCACTGCACACCATTCCAGTAGCACTTGCTCTGGTCTATTCAGATACCAGAGCCTCATTATTCTCTCTTGCAGGTGGGAGTGGAAGGCTTAGACAAAGTTATTCAAAAACAAAGCCTTGCCTGTGAGTCTCGTGATACCGAAAGAAATCCCTTGTTGTATAAATTCCTTCTCAGAGAGGAGTCTATGTGAGGCTGAATCCTATCTTAGCCCTGGATTGTGTTAACGGTTTAAATTTAAAGGAATTATAGAGGTATAATTAAACTACTTTGTCCCAATGATGGCAAAACAGATATACAAATTAATTTATTATGACAAATTAACAAATAGGTAAACAGATGAAAGACCTTAATCAGAATTATTTACTACACAATATAAACACTAAAAATCTAAAATAGAGTATAGTATAGCATAGAGTATGGTGCACTGTAACAAAGCAATTATTGAAGCAGTTATATTAAGTAGAGATCTGATGTAACCCACCTAGAACAACACTTGTGTAGAGATCTCTTTCTCTCAACCTTGAGGAGTAACCCTGGTGAGAGTCCCCAGCCCAAGGGAGGAATCTCCACACACACTCCAAGAAGGGTTATGTCAGCAGAACCTGACTGCATGAGAGGGGACTGGACTAATAGTATAAAGTGATTGACTGCTAATCACACATTTACAGGCCAGCTATCAGCTTTTCTGTTAAATCAGACTTCAAAAAGTAGGGTGTGTATTCAAAGTTTGATGAACCAGGATGGTTTTAGCATAATTAACACCAAGATAGCACCCTGGCTGCGGCAGTTGATGCTGCATGATAGCTTGCATGATAGCTTGATTGGATTTTAGGTCTTATCAGGGTGGGTCTATCCTGCCACATTCTCACTAGACATTTTCCTAGGTATAGGCACATGGATGCTTTTTTTCCTTTTGGCAAGATTGTGGCTTCGAATATTCACATGCAGTTGGGTATCCACCTCCTCTTTTTGCAGCCTCTATTTCCTATGACAGTGACTGCATCATTCCTACAAACACTGAGACATTAGGTACCTACGTCACTTAACATCAGTGACACTCCTCTAATTCTTCAGTAACTTCCCATTTGCTGTTCTGCATATTTTTTCGTAATCTACAAGCTTTAACAGTAAAATAGGAAATGGAGCATCAGTATCTTCATAAGGGCTTCAGCAGTATGGAAAACAATAAAATAGTGTTCTGTTTCTACCTGACAGGATACATTTAAAATCCAAACCCAGAGAGCCTTTTTGGTTTTTACCTTGCTGATGACAGCAATATTAGACTTGATATCCAGACACTGGACACTGCAGAGGGAATATTGGAGTTAGTGACTATCTAGAATTGTGTTGGAAGTTTCTGTTTGTGAGAAATAGGAAAAAATGAATACAATTTCAATTAGGAAAGGATCAGGCTCTCTATTTGAAGACACACGGGAGTATCTTCAATGGGTTTTAAGGGGTTTAATGTACCAGAGGTGTGAGAGGCGTTACTGATTTTGCAGATTAGCTTTTTTAGTTCCTACATTTGTCTATAATTAACTTCTTCTTAATGTTACACGACCTCTGTTTCTATAGATGTCAAGTTCAGGTTTCTGTCACATATTATAGAATCAGAAAATATATGATACCCCTTCTTAATGAGCCCACTTGATTTGGCACAGTGTGGATGAAAATACTCAAACACTGAAGTCAGAAACGATGGTCTAGTGTTCACTCATGCCTTGGCTGGCACGCTGCTGCTAAAACTGAGAGCGCAACTGATGTGTCTTGTTTTTCTGGTTCTCCTTTACTTGTTTTGTGTCCCTTGGTGCTTGCTGTGAAACTGTGGGACTTCCTTTGCAGCGTTGGTGTGGTTCTAGTGCTGGCTCTGGGATGTCCGTAACAGCTGTTGCAACACACAGAGTAAACAATCGCTGGTTACACTTGGAAACCAGTAGCAACCGAATATTGTTTAAACAACTGTCTGGCTCAGGTTTTGAAACTTTCAGCTGGAGTTCCCTTCTTATGCCAGGAGAGGAGGGGCAGCAGTGGCTCTGCATATTTTGTGTGTTTGCACATATATGTGTGCATGAGCACACATTTCCTAGCCTTAGCAGCAATAGCAGATCATCTACCTGCCAGGTGAGTGCTGCTCTTTGTCAGGGGATTCTGAAATTTCCTCACATCGTAGAGAAAATTGTGTGCTGTGTTTCTATTGTGCCTTTGAACAAAACTGAGTTTTTGAAGGTAGTTCTCAACTGGCCGTAAGTACAAGTGAGCTGAACATGTATTTGCTGTCCTCTGTCAAGCTCATGTGTGTTAGTCTGTCCACAGAACATACACTGTGTGCAGCACCCATAAGCTGGGTAAAACAAGGTGACCCCTTGCAGGCTTTGTTCTGCCATGGGGTTTTTAGCACCTGAGGCAGTGTTGGGACTGGTTCTTCCAGGAGGAGGAAAGTGTCAGAGTTGGCAGGAGACTTGTAGGATGGGAGATACTGAAGGTAAAAAGTGTTGGGGTTGGCAGGGAGATAGGAATTCTGATCTGGGGAGAGAGAAGTAGGTGCTAATAGGGTGGAAGAAGCAAGGAGACATTTTTAGGTAGGAGACTTGCATAGGGACACTGAGTAAGGAAAGGGTTTTCTAATATGCTTTAAAAAATACTAATGATTTGAGCTTGATAAACTTTTTTTTGTTTGCAATGGGTTGAGGTAATTTCCAAGCCAGACAGTAGTGTTGTAAGTAACTTTTATATGTGTTTAATGTTTGCGTGGCACTGTTAAGAAACATTAGCACTTAAAATGCTGCAGACATCTTTTCTTCTCTTGTGGTCCTAGAGATGATATAGGAATTTTGAGAATTATTTAGCTCCTGTTATGGTAAATTGCTACTATATTTACTCCTCTTCTGTGGTGGAGTTAGTTTTGCAACCATCACTCCCTAGTGTCCTGCTCCTCACGCAGCATATACCAGCTTTTGCTTTGATCCAAAAAATGAAACAAGTCAAAATCCTACTAAATCTGAGATGTGTGACTGCCATTCCTTGGAAGTGCCATCTGACATGCTTAGTACTATTCTACCAAGGGATAACACATTCAAGATCTGTGGCTAATTTCTCAAAGTAATTTGTGGGGATTGCACAGTAGCAGAGACAATAAAAAGTTTTGCTGCTAATATTCAGGTTTTTTTCTTTTGTGTTTAGACTTATGAAACTTTCTTCCCATCATACCTAGTTTCTGAATTGATTGTGAGGCAAGGGATTTTTATGCTTTGCTGCCCTCTCTGGTAACAGGCCTGATATTAACAAGGTTAAGGAAAACCTCCTGAATGTGGTTTTTTAATTTTAACTTGGAACAATCCTTTCCAACCTATATTTAGCTTGATGTGTACTTTTTCCCATGCGTAAAAACATGTCTGCTTTTTAAACTAGCTGATACAGATGGAGAAAACCCTTCTTAATTGTGGATATGAGTGAACTTACAATGCTGTTGCTGTAACACAGAGCTTGAGGTGTTTTGGGATTGGCACCCTTTGGAAGAAGACTGAAAACCGGTACTTCCACCTTAGACAAAGAAAATCCAGCCTCTCTGACCAAAGCATGAATCCTCTAGCAGGCTGCACAAGCTGTCAGATGAGCTATGGCAGGAGTATTCTCAGGGTTAGAGAGTTTTCTTATAGTTGCCACACCACTTTTCTGACCAAACTCGGGAGATTACAGCCACTGCAAAATTTAGGAATGCTCTGATGGTGCTGTGCTCTTTCAGGCTATGGAGCCTTAACCTATCCTTTGATTTTTCAGAACCTAAACCAGAACAGGACAATTTTCCCAGTCTGATTCAGTGGTTTCTGTGCTCACTTCTGCCTGATTTTTCTGTCCCAGCTATCCCATTGTGCAGCTGGTCCTGCAAATGATTTCTGCATTTTCTGTTGGTATTACTTCTGCCCTCTTTCAGAGAAGTTGTAGAGGGGCCACAGCAAACTAAAACAACCCATATGTCAAGCCAGATAGGATTTTTTCTCCTTCTGCACTGTCAATAATGAAAGCTCAACAGAGCTCAAGTCTGCTCGTTAGAAGTCTTCACACAGAATGCTATAAGACTGGTGCTTTCAGTAAAGGGGCAGGACTGTAGATATTTCCTAGAAAAACAAGAGGACTCTAACAGCTTGGAAAAGACACAAATCCTGTAAAAATAAATATTTGTGATGCTCATGAGCAATGCTGTTAGCTGAGAGCACACAGTGTTCACTGTACAATAGGATTTGAGGATTTAGTAATGGTGACCTGGAATAACATGCCAGATGCCTTGCATTAGAGGATACGTAGTATGGCAGTAGTGTACATATTCCATTTTATTACATTTTTATGTTCCTTTGAAACTTATGAAACTCCTCACAAATTCAAATGATGGATTACGGGAGTGGTTATATTTGCTTTTAAATGAGCAGTTAAATGGGTCATAAGGGAAAATTTAAAGTTATGTTTATAGATATTGAACATTTCTTCCTTATTCATGCTAATGGATAGCTAAGATTCTGATCTTCTCTGTTTTCAAAGGTAATGTTGTGCAAGATGTGAAGTGCATTACTAAAATATTTTAGCTTGTTTTTCCTTCAGTATCATGATGACAGTTCTCTCTGTTAAGTTTTACAAGGTGCTTAATAGCCCTCCCTTGGATTATTTTGTTTTGCTTATTTGTTTATTAGCTTCAGTGACTGAACCTGGAATCTGAACAGATCCTGCTCAGGCTAAAAGACTCATTTGGTCTGATAAATTTCCTTAAACCCTCTCCCCATACGCCTTGGAAAGAGTTGTAGTGGGAAACAACATATGGCAATAGATAGTGCAGGGGTGACTTTCACATGTGAATATCACCCCTTTGAGTTTACAAGTCATGTAGCAACTTTACCACGTGGGAACTATTGGGTGTATATTTTGGGTAGGCATTTAATCAGATGGCCATACCTACACAGTTCTTAATTTACAGATCACGTGCTGAGTTTAACAATGGGACAGGAAACTCTTTTGTTATATTTATAAACAATGTTTGTAGCTTACTTTCCTTCAGATCATGACATGCTTCTTTTGTTAACTGACAGAAACTTGAGTTTAACCACATGTTACTAAGCATGCTGTAAGTAAGGGTTGTGAGTCTCTTTATGGTCATAAAACATGAAGAGGCTTTTGCATCCTCTTTGGTCTGCTGATGTCCTGTTTCCCACGGTTGGGGGTACATGGATGAGGCTGGATCCAGGCCTGTGACTGGGATAGGCTCAGGCCACATCAGGGCAGTGAACAGTCTTCGCTGTTGACTGGAGTAAAGTTAGGCATTGCAGTCATTTAGTGTATTTCAGTCTTTTCACTGGCATAGAAATATTAATGCTCTTTTGAGTGTTTTAAGATGAAGGTCCAGTCATAAATTCAGGCTTACTTAGTGAGGTAGAAGGTTTAGAATCTGTGCCTATTTTATTTATCATTCCTCTGCTCCCTTCATTCTGGCTGTGAAAGATATCTCTGAGCACACAGAATACCTGGCAGTTACTATGTCTTGAATGCATCTTCTACTGTGGCTGCAGATGGATTTATTTTTGCCTTGTATATGATATAACCAGATACACAGGAGAATAGAAAAGTTTTTCAATTGGTTACATTTCTATGGAACTTTGACATTCCTCAGAAATATATCAAGTCTATATCAATATATTACCCACAGTCCTCTACCAAAAAACTGGTTAGATGCTCACATGCTTAAAAAGGCATATTTAAGTGTTCTGAATCATCATATTGGCTTAAAAAAAAATGTTTATAGGTTTAGGCCTTTACACTTAGATTTTTTGAAAAAAAGTGAGCAGGAAAGTAGAGATCTTCAAAGAGTGTCATGCTTTTCTAGCTGTACATCTGTCACACTGCTCTTGTCTTGTATTCTGTTCAAGAAAAGCACCAGTCCTGAAAGCTTGCATTCACATGTCCTTTAAAATCTATCCTGCTTAGCGAGGTATTGAGAGAAAGATGCTCTATAAGAACATAGTCTAAGGAGTAGAGATGTTCTGTAATAGAGCTATGTAAGTTGGAGAAGTAAGGAAGATGACTAGCTTGTCACCTTTACCCTGGAATTTATATTTCTTGGTTTTCTCCTCTAAAAGCATGTTGCTAACCAGCACTAATTGATATGTGAAAGGAGTTGGGCTATTTCAATAGATTTCACCAAATATCTCTGTGTTTTTTCTTCTTTTCACAGTGGCGAAAAAAGTGGCAGACTTTGAACTTCCTTATTTGAGTCTTCAGAGCATGAAGGAGTTGCACTGTAAGCTTGAGATCAGAAAGTGGTGAGCAAGAAGCTTGAGAGAAACTACTAAAATGCATGACAACTACTGTGAGCAGAGAAATAAATCCCTTGAATAACTTAGTTAGAAAATCTTCAAGCTTCATCAGCTTGACTGTTCTTTTTCTGAGGCCAGTTGTTAATTGGAATTGACTGGTTTCTGCGGTCCTGCATGTTTTCAATTTTATGACTGTAATATTCCTGAAGGGTCCTTTACTGTAGCTAGCTCTTTCCTCCCTCTCTCTTTCAGAATCTATAGAGAGGTGTTTTGTAGCTGTTTGCCTCCTAATTTTTATACCTGCATAATTCAGTGACCACAAATAGGAACATACCTGTAAGCAATATGGAAGCGAACTTTTAGTTCTGAGTTGTAAGCTGACTCTCTGGGCAGAGATGGGTTACTTTTTATCTGAAGCGCTCATTTCTATACACTAATATACTTAATACCTGAGGCCATAGCTTGAGCATTTATTTTGGTAAGTGGCCTGGCTGAAACAGCAGAGCACTCTTACCCTTTCATTTGCTCATACCTTGGGCTACTCCTCAGTTACACTGGTGGAACTGTGTGGGTAGAGAGTGGTGAGCTGGACTGGCAAGCTAATCCAGCCTAAAAGTAAGTTGTTGAATGTTTTATTTGATTTTGATGGCCTATTTTTGGCCTCAGTTAGCACTCCAGTCCTGTTTGCTGTGCAGCAAATGATAGTGCTGAGTTGTGGGTAAGGATAAACACTGGAGACTGGGATTCTGGTGCTGAAGTCCCATTTGTCAGAGTGCCCTGAGGGTACAGTTAGGCAGAGCAGCAGGGCCAGCCTAATGGCTCACTGCTGTGGTTTTGCTCTGCTCTACTTCTCCCTACAAGGAAAAAGTAAAAAAAAAAATGAATTTTTCCTTGCTTAGTGAGTTGTATTGGTTGCATCAGATGAATGAATGGAGCAGGAAGAAGATACCATGTCTTTTTGGTGGCAGCAAGTAAGGTTGCTTGGCTTGAAGGTAAACAGAAACCCATTGTTTGATGCTGGTAACTTGTCTGGTTTAAATCTACTGCGTCAGAGCTTGGCCTCTACAAAGCTTTCTCTGTTTCCCTGTATGTGCCCTTATAAACTGCAGAACCCAGCACTCCAAGGAAAGAACTGTGTGGTTCTAAGCTGTGGCAAAGTGGCTATGTCTGAGTAGGTACTTCTCCATCTATCAGTGCTTCAAGCCCAGAGGTAGGAAATGGGGCTATCTGTGGGCTGCTGTGTCCCCTGTGCAGGGTCATACATCCATGGAGTGATACTGGCCTTGGAGCCTCCACTTCTCTGGTCATACTGTCCTGGAGAGTTGCCTAAGCTGCTTCAAATCAAATGGCTCAAGCCAGCTGCTGTGACATGGCAACTGGATAACTGAATACTTAACTTGCTATGCTGCTGCACTGATCTCAACCTGCAGCAGTTCCACAGCAGCTGGTACTGCAGCTAGCAAGCTTAAGGCTGGGTCTTGCATGGCAGCACTGCAGCACATGGCAGTGGATGCTCTGAGAGCCTACCAACTACTGTGTCCAGAAACACAGAGCTGTTTGAGAAAAAAGAAGGAGGAAAGCTGAAGTTCCAAATTGTAGCTTTTATGTTTGGTACCACCAAAATCAAAGTGTAGAGACTGGATAACCTGACTCCAGTTTATTTCCTTTCTGTTACAACATATAATGAATGAATACGATACACACTTCAAGAGCATAATTGTTTTTTGATTTGTTGTGGAGATTTTTAATTTCGTAAATAATGAGACCTTTCTGGATTGTGTTCCCAGTTTATTTAGCTGAAAAAAATCAAACCACCATATTCAGAAGCATTTCTTCATGTTTTATTACTTTTTTTCCCTTGCTTGGAAAACATATGAGGATCCTTCTTGATAATACTGCTGATGGATTGTAGAGCTTCACTGAACTTGCTACATACGCAGGTAAAACTGAAAGGACTTTATCATTTTAAAGGTTACTTTTCCCACACTGAATGAATCTTTTATACAAATTCTTGACATATTTGTAAATGGTCCCTGCTGCTGGCACTGCTTTGTGGCACTACTTTAGGTGCTGGATATAGCTGTTGTTGATTGTGGGTTTGCTAGTGGGGTTTTTTTCTCCTTCAAACTCTTGTACTAGAGATTCTAACTCACTTGTGTTTTGTGCATGGGAAAAGTATTGCACTAAAAGGATGTATTTCATATCCATCTACTCTATTTTCAAGGGGATATAAGTATCTGTATGTTCTTAACATGCAGACACTCTGCCATGGTATGAGAGCAGTTGATTTCTGAATGGTAGGTGTGTTGAGTTATACTACTTTGGAAACTATTAATTCCTGAGGAAAGAACAGTGCAGAATAAACTTGCCCTAAAATCAAAGGCTTTGTTTAAAAAACCAAAACAAACCACAAGCTTTCCATTTCCGTGTGTGTGTTTTTGAATGTTTGTGTGAAAAGAAATAAGTTTTTGCTGACTTTCTTTGCTATTTTTAAAAATTCTTTTAAGGCAATCCAGGAAGTTGAGAGGAATTGGCTTAAACCCACAGAAGAGCAGATGCAGGAACTTGAATTTCTACAAAAAATGCAAACAAAGTAAAGGTAGAACAGTATTTCTTAAAAAAGTTCAAACAGATCAAAGGATTTGGGGGGTTTGGGTTTTTTAAAGAAATTATAGTAGGTGCTCTGACTTAAAAAAGAGAGCATGGTTTTGTGGAGTGGTTTGAGGTACAGACCCAGGTGTCCCATCTTCTTGCCAGAACCTGAACCACTAAACAGAAAAGGAGTTTCCTATCTCTGTTAATATTTTTTTTTTAAATACCAACAGGATGAGCTGGATCCCAAGGGCTGGCAAGAAGTTTTCTCTATTTGCAAATCTTAGGTACTAAAGTTTGTCATCCAGTTTAGGTAATCAGATGAGAATTCAGACTGCTGGGACTGCTGTTCACAGTATTACTTACTTGTTAGTTTTATCTCTTCCTATAATCATATCTAATAAGCATCCAAAAGACCCAGCTCATCATATCCTGTCAAAAAAAAAAAAAATTCCAATTTCTAACTTGACTATGAATGCCATTCTCTGAATCAAGCACTGACATACTGTGGTGAATCTGTGTCCTTCCAGAAGAAAGAGTATTAGGAATTTCAAAGATTTGACTTACAGCCCTTTTTACTTTCTTGTTTGTTTGTTGGAGGTTTTTCCTTTTTTTTTTTTTTTCAAATCTCTTAACTTACTTGCCTTTACAGCAAATTGCATTAGTTCTGTATTTTTGGTGCAGTTCCTGGAGCAGATTGGAGAAATGCAGTTCTATGGATATATACACCAGATCCTTGTATTTGTGACTAACCAGAAGGCTGCTCAGCTGACATCCATGTTGGCAATGATAAGATCAACTGTTGCATTACACTGCCTACTAACCAAACCAGAGGTCAGCTTTAAAATCAACAGGTTAAGAAGTTGGGAGTTTACTTTTCATGTAAGTACTTTGCTGACTTTGTATCTGAATTCACTTCATCAAAACAAAGATTGAAAGGGAAGGTCTAGGGTAGAAAAGGGTGATGTTTTAAATCCCTTCCACTTGTCCATATCCCCCTCCCAACCTATTCTGAAATGTATTCCCTTGGCAGCCTTCACAGCAGTAAAACATCTAGCCTTACTCTGCTGTTTCCTCTCTTCCCTAAGATTCCATGTCATACTTTATCTGCCCCTTTCCTCTCTTGTTGGAGGTAGAGTTGACAGAGTTTTGTGAGGCAGCCAAAGAACTGCTTTCAACCAACTTTATGCTTGCAAAGACTCCCACTTCCTACCCTCCCACAGAGGAAGTGCACTGGTACAGACTTTATACAAACTGTATAAAATTAACCTAATTGACTAATTATGATTTAAGGTTGAACACCTTAATGCTGTTTTTAGCTGCTTCTTCTGTTCACTGGCTGGGGGTTTTTTTGTTTGTTTTCTGTTTGTTTGTTTTTCCAGGGTGCTTCAAAGGATGGCAAAGAAGACACACTGAAGCTTAGATTTGAGTACAATGACTCAGGCACACGGCAGTGGATAATTTTGTACACAAAACAGGTTAGTTCTCAATCCTTTTAGGAAAGCATCAGAGTAAAATGTAATCTCACAGGGTTAGTCGTGCTGAGGCTGGGCCATAAGAAACTGCAACTTGTTTGGTGCATTGTCAAGCACACAAAATTAACTGTGTCAGAGAAGTGATAGTTCAATAGTTAGGAACTGCAATTTTCTAGTGGAGAAGGAATGGAAGAGTCAACAACATCTTTTAATAGAAGAAATCAGAATGTTCTCTGGTTTATCCTCTTCTGCCCTTTGTGCTCTGTAGCTACTTGAAGGAAATGGCATCAGAACAGATGATGAAAGCAGCCAAAGGCCAAGAAATGGTAAGCATGTGTGTATTTGCTATAGGAATTTGTATTTAAAAAGAAATAAACTTGCTGCTCTATCACTCTTACCACTGTGATAGAGAAGTACTATTGAGGAAAAGCATCTTGCATGTGCCAATATTTCAGTATAGAATTAATTGACTAAAAAGCAGATCTTTTCTCAGTTTTACTGAAATAATGTTCTAAATGTTAAAGACGGTTTCTCATCACAGTTTTAAGAATAAGTTTTACACTCTCTCTCCTTGACTTCATTTTTTCAGAAGATGATGAAGGATATTGATGGCATAGCTTTTCGTGTGTTCTGCACTACCCCGTTGTATCCATTTCTGGCTTTCACTTTTCCCCCACTTCACTTGATTGCTCCATCTGTTGTGATGTTAGACCAAACTGAAATCCGTGACATTCACAGGGGACACTGTTTTAAATAGAAGTGTTAATAAAGTAAAAATCTGATTTGTAGCTAAAATACTTCTGCCTTTTGTGTAGGCCTTTCAGGATGGAAACATATGGTTAGATACTTGTTATTTTTAAAAATAATTTCCAGTATTAGTAATGTCTTTGTTTAATCTTGTGATATCTAAAGATTTTGTCTGCCAACTGAAAACTTCTGAAGAGAAAAAAGGAAACGAAAATGTGTGATCTTCTAGGTCCAGTTCATTTCCTGCACTGTTGTTTCTGGGTGTGACTGAATGCTGATTTGCTCAGCATATTTTGTGACAGTACTTGGGGTAGCATTTCAGCTTATTCTAAGTTTACATTTGTCAATTTGTTCAGAAGATCAAGATTCCTGAATCAATGAAACATAGAAATAAGAAATCCAGTATCCAACAAAAGCAGCGAGAAGAGAAATTAGTGAGTGAGAAGTTGTCTCCAAAATGTAAATACAGTGTGTTCTTGTTTCCTACTGTTGTTTAGACCAACATTTGTTTTTCTGGTTAGGGAAACTCCTAAAAAAATTAATGAGAACTTCCTTGGGTGGAAAAAGGAGCTAAATTTGAATTTAGGGAAGAAAAAGAAGGCAAGAAACAGGTCTAAATAAAACTTTTATTTTAGCTTGATGGGTTTAACAACAAGTCGTTTGATTTTATTTCTTATTCCAAGTGTTTCTGAATGACATATTTGAAATTTGCAGAAAGATAGAGTATATACAGAGATCAAGTGTGTATATCCACATGCAGTTGCTGGTGTGTTTTACAGGCTTGTACTTATATTCCACACTAGAATTTTTATGTGTTTATTTTCTGCTCTATTTGGGAATTGTAGTCATTTGGAAAATTTAACATGTTACATATCCATACATAGACATTCCCATCACATAGAAGATGCAATTCCAAGTTCATTTGCTGGAATCAGTATTCATTGCTAATAGTTCTTGAATAGCTAAATGACTAGAAGATGTTGCTTTTTCAAGTCATTTGCTGAATGAGAGGCAATAAAGTGAATTAAAATAAATACTCCTATTACAGTGTGTGATTGGCCAAAGGAGAAATATTTCTAAAAGAGAAACTCCAAATTTAATCTGAATTCAGAAAAAAAAGTGATGTTGCTGTACCCTCAGAAACCATAAAACCAGTCACTAACTGCTCCTCAATAAGCCAATGGATTAACATTTGGGCTGGGTTCTCCTGCCCCTTTCTTTGAAGTGCTCTGTACTTGTCACTGCTGCAGATTCTAGGTTAGGTGTGGCCTTCAGCAGCCCCAAGTAACTTGCAAATGATATTAAGGGAGACAACATTTTCTGACTAGACTGGCATCTGGGATGGAGACTGAAGGATGCGGTTCAGGGTCTTTGCCAAGGCAAAGGTTTAGCAAGGACTAAGTTGCACAGTACCCTGGCCTTGAGGCAATTGCTCTGACCTCAACATACTTAAAATATTTATTTTTGTGAGAAAAGCAGCCTTGGCAGGGTAACATAAAGCCACTGATATTATCAGCCATGTCTGGCTGCTGATACAAAACTCAGTGAACTAAGAAAATTACAGTTGATAATTAGAATGGGGGTCTTAAAGTAAGTCCACGTGTGCTGTTGTGTTAAACAGTGACAGTATGGAATGCTATACCTCATTTTAAACAGCAAATTTGAAGTGGTTTAGGTCTTTGTGCACCATGCTCTGTTATCATAGAATTAATATAAAATCTTAAACCAGGCTTAGCTAAATTCTAAATGCTGTGATTGCAGTATTAGGGTTCTTAAGGTTTTGCTTTGCTATTCCTCTATTTTTCTTTGCAAGATGCTTGAAAAATGTATGAAGTTTGTTTTGTACATTCTCATTTGAAAAAGTGTTTTTGAGTTGAGGACATTTACTTTGCAAACATGTACCAAGAAGAAAAATCTGTGCTACAAATTTTCCTTATAAAACAGAAATCTGCAGATACGTGCAACGGAACTGGGTAGTTTGCCTGTTTATACCTGCTGGGTAATATGGTATTAGGAAGCTTCAGACAGTGCATGGTAACTTTTAGGAAAAGTAAAATTGAAAGGAAACATTGATGCAGTTGTTACACTTAATAAGAATGTGTTATTAACAGTACCTAATCTAATTCAGGAGGCCTAGTAGGCAACTAAAGTTTCTATACATATGTCCTTGTGACCACCATAATGCCAAATAACATGGATGTTGGCACACCTGGAACTGCTGTTCAATCCACACCCTATCTAGTACATTGTAATAAGCCTTAGAGTAACAACAACTGCTCTTGCACCCCATCCCAGCAAAAAAAAAAACCAAAGATATTTCTCTCTGAAATATCTCAAAGAGATCAACCTGAAATATCTCAAAGAGATCACCTGAACAGTGAGATTTTCTAGCTTATGTTTGTATCTACCTGTAATTATTGACATGCATATGCTCTTCTTTACTTGCTTCACTGCAGGTAGTTCAGTCAGGTTTTATATCAAGGAAAAGATTTGTGGTTAGGCCAAATGAAGGAGACTGCGTGTGGAAATAATAAACCCATTGCTGAAATATTGAATTAAAAGGCAAAAACCTCCTAAAACCCTCCAGTGTAATTCCTCGCCCATGTACTGTTCTTTAGAGTATTTACAACTCTAGTGAGCCAGTTTGAATGGGTGCTGACAATCTGGAGGTGTCTTGCGTACATGCTTTTTCGGATATTTTTTCCCCCAGACATTTTTGGGGCAGAAAGGGGAGGGTTATCTAGAAAAGGTGCTATGATTTTAGCAGGGGGAAAAGTTATAATATGTAAGACATATGTAACATATCAGTTTATGATGTTTTTGTAACTGTGTAATTAGCGTGGTGACTGAGCAGGCTGTTTCCACCTAGGCATTGTCTGGAAAGGCATGCATTTCCTCTGATCCCTCCAGGGCATGTAAGTGACCACAACAGAAATTGAGCTGGTTCATACTGATGGCCCTGGGCAAGCAAATACCCTCTGTGGTGGCTAAAGGCAGGCACAACTTGCTTGCTACTGCAAGAACACTAAAGTGCCTAAACCACAACACCCCAGACCAGGCTTTAAGGATCTTTGATTCTTCTTACTGTCCTTACTTTAAGGATCATGTGTGAGAACAGGGGAAGGAAGTAGAAATAAAATAAAAGCTACAATAATATTTTGGGGGAAGTCAAATAACTTCAGCCCCCACCCTTCTCCACCCTCCCTCCCCCATTTACTTATACTCACAGACCCTTGGTGCTGAAATGATTTGGAGGCAGAGGAACTGTACTTTTACCTGAATATTTATCTTGCTGATATTTGTGGTGTTACGGGGATAGCACACACAGAAGCATCAAAATTACAGAATTAATTAGGTTGGAAAAGACCTCTGAGATCGAACACCACCATGTCAAATAAACTATAGCACAGGGTGCCACATCCAGTCTTCCCTTAAACACCTTCAGGGACAGTGACTCCATCACCTCCTTGGGCAGCCCATTCCAAAGTATAATCACCTGTTCTGTGAAGAAAGTCCCCCTAATGTCCAACCTAAACCTCCGCTGGCACAGCGTGAGGTCGTGTCCTCTGATCCTGTTGCTTGTTACCTGAGAGAAGGGGCCGATGCTCACACACCACCTCCATTCAGGGAGTTGTAGAGAGCAATAAGGTCACCCCTGAGCCTCCTCTCCAGGCTGAACACCTCCAGCTCCCTCAGCCGCTCCCCATAGCACTGGTGCTCCAGAGCCGTCACCAGCATCCCTGCGCTTCTCTGGACTCACTCCGGCATCTCAGTGTCCTTCCTGTAGTGAGGGGTCCAGCACCGGACACGGGACTCGAGGCGCGGCCTCGCCGGGGCCGAGCACATGAGGACGGTCCCTGTCCCGGTCCCGCTGCCGCAGTGTGTGTGACTCCCCCGCTCCCAGCGGGCCGGCCCCGCTCCCGCTCCCCTGGCTCGGCCGGGCTGTGCTGTGCGGGACGCGCCATGCGGGGCCCGGCGGCGGCCGCGGCCTCCGCCCAGCAGGGGGCGCCCGTTCCGCCCGCCGCGCCCCCGCGCCCGCCCCCCCCGTTCCGGCCCCTCCGCCCAGAGAGCCGGGCAGGTACGGCGGGAGCGGCGCCGGGCCGGGCCGGGGGCGGGCAGGGCAGGGCACGGCGCTTTCGCTCTCCCCAGGGGTGTGCCAGGCCCGGGTAGGGACCCGCGGACGGGCCGTGGGCAGTGCCCCGCCCGGGAGCCGCGGAGGTGGGGCGCGGTGATGCGGGTTGGGGGGAAGGGGTTTGGTGGGAGAACAGCGGGAGCAGTGCCAGCCTGCGGAGCGGGAAGGGAGGGGAAGGGGCACGCACGGGCACGGGAACGCGTCCTCCTTCCTGACAGAACGTAAGTGTGCGGCTTTGGAACGCTCTTTTTTTTGGGAGAAAACAGCGAAGGTAAGTGAAGCTAAAATACGTATTTCAACCTGTCCTCGAAACTGTCTTTGGAAAAGCAATTACTGTTTTTAAGGCAAGTGGTGTAGTTCCCGTTTTTTTCCCGACGACGCTAAGGCCGCTGCACATTGTTATCGTGCTGAAAAGGTAGGGATAACACCCGAATTGTAAAGAGGATGGGGAAGTAACTAGAGACAAACTACTGTGAGTAGTGTTGAATGGAAAATCTATCAAATCTGAGTATGAACGAGTATAAAATTAGTTCTTTGAAGATCTGTTTTGAGACCAATCTTGTTAAATATTTCATAGAGGTCTTGAGGTAGCAATTAAAACTTTACTGTCTTCATTTGGCAGTGATGAAGAATTGGGAAGCACTGGCAATATAGAAGAGGGTTACGGGACTACACAGAAAGAATTGGGTGATCCTGAGAACTAGGATATGAAATAAGTGCTATAACAATTTAAAGAACGAGGATTTACAGTTGTAGCCTAGTAAGGAAACAATATACAGAAGAAACTCTTACTGGTTGAAAGTAAAACAAAACCAAAGTATGTGGCAGGTAGTTACAAGATATGCAGTGTGGAAAAAGTAAATGCTGACTACAGTGATCCAGTAACAGAAGTTATTACTGTCCATGAACAGAACTCTGGAATACTTTGTATAATGTTAATCATTCTCAGCTAAAAAAGTAAAGTGGAACAGGTGCAGGAAGATGTGCCTAGGACAGGTAGGGAAATTAAGAGTCTATTGGAAGAAGCATTTGGCTTTTTTAATTTTGTCAAATAAAGGCCTTTTTTTGCTCTCTATCAAACCCATCAAGGTAAACACTGAGAAGGGAACAAATTGAGCTAAAGAATTATGTTGATACATGAATAATTTAACACAGATTTTAAGATTAATAATATATGAAAATTTCTAACCATCAGAGAGCACTGATGTTCAAGATCAGCCTTCCAAAAGATCAAGGAAGAGCAAAAGCCCAACGCTTTTTAGATAGAGTGTATTAAAGTAATGATTTTCTTTGCTTCAGCATAGTTCTAAGCTTAATGTTACCTGTAGACTATAGGTTAGTTTTCCTTTATTGTTCATTTGTGAAACAGATTATTAGCAAGAACTTGATTTTTAGAAGAAAAATATTTTTAATAGTTTTTGCAGTCTGAATAGCAGGGTTGGCGACAGTCAGAAAATTATGCTGCCTAATTGCTCTCTTTTTGAGTTGAAGAGAAGATACGAAGAGTAAGCTGAGATGAGTTGAGGGCTGAAGTGTGGTGTGTGCATCTGTCTTCTTACCAGAGCAATGTGAGTTTGCCTCTGCAAGAGGGGACTACAAAAATCTGTTCTGATCTGTAATCAGTGACAGGTTTCCTCTCAGCAGATTTGTACCCTTTAGTTAGAGTTGTCTCATCAGCAAGAGCAAGGGATTTGAAGCAGTGCTTTAAGTTGACTGTATTATCCCACCTCGTATTCTTGTGCACTTAATGTCAGAACACATGTGGCCTTGGAAGTCCTCATCTGCAGCCCAGGACCTGAGATACCTGCTCATCCAAGGCGTGAACTACTAGTGACTTTTCCAGGGATTTGGGTATGCTGGATATGGGTATTTTAGGGCTGCTGCTCTTGTCTTTTGATCAGTCTGTCAGCTGATTGCCTCCCATGTGATCTCAGCTGTGGATGTTCTGCTTCCAGGTAGGTCAGTTATAAAATAATGGCCAGTCTTTGCGAGCTAAGATCCGGGGAAGGTCTTTACACCTTCCAGCCTGCGCATTGGATTTTTTAGGTGAGACACAGTGTGCGCAGAACTGAGCCCACCCTTTAATCCTAAGGTTCATCTGCCGGGGCCAAGCGAGCTTGGACGGTGGCAGCGAGGTCCTTAGGACGTAGGTGGATTGCCTTTTTAAGGGTTAACGAGCTCCATCAGCCCGGGGAGTGGCCCTGACCAGGAATCGAACCCGGGCCTCGGCGGTGACAGTGCCGCGCCCTTAACCACTAGACCACCAGGGGCTCCTGGTAGGTCAGTTAATAAGCAGATAAAATATTTTAGAAGGCATTGGTTTATACACGTTATGTGAAATACATGATTCCTAATGCTTTCAGCTTTCTGCAGAGACCATCCACAGAATGCTGCCAGAGTAGATGACAGGCATGTCTTAGTGCATGGGCTTGTTTCACTAAAGTTCAATTGTTAGTGTTTACTGTGATTTTGTCTTCATCCAAGCCAGAGCACAAATACTGAAATGGTCAGTTTTGTTGTGGTTTGCTTTGCTATTTAAAGATACTTAATAAATATGTGGAAAGAAGTTTTACCTTGCTCAGCACCTCACTGAAGCCGTATCTGTCACAGAACTTAGCTTCTGGCTTTGATTCATGTGTCAACACCACTTTTCCCAGTGGCATGTCTTTCTTTTACTCCTCAGTAGAATTTCAATTGGCTGGGTGGAACAGAGCTGCTTAGACACCAGTTTTGTCACCCAGCAGATTTCTCACATCCAAGTAGTGCAGCTACATCAGCTGAATTTTATGAGATAAACTCAAAGATATAAATCCTGCAGTGTTTGTTAATGGGGTTATATTCTTCACTGTGCTCAAGACCTCTTATTAGTGTCCAACCAGCAATAATGGATGGTGACAGAAACGGGGCAGCAGCACATTTCAGGAAAGGTTTCTGGTGTATGGGTTTTCCATGGGTTGTGTAGAATGCTTGTCTGTCGTCTTCACCTCAACTTTTTTTGTCCAGAGAAGTGTTTGCCTGTCTGTACTATGTGTTACTATGTTAAGGACTGGTTCTACCTGAGTTTGAGTACATCTTCAGAGGTTTGCTACACAGGATTGTAGGTACAGCTGATGTGGATTTTCAGGAAGCATCAGAAAAAAGTACCCTACCAAAGACTTTTGAGAAGACTTGATGCTTATAGCACCTAGGAGATTTCTTATTTGCAGAAATAGTTGGGTTGAAAAATTAAAAAGGAGGCAAAAAGAAATTCCCGAAAAGGGGAAGGGGGCAGAAAGATGGCACAGTGAGCTTCAATGTGCATGAAGTAGGATGATGTCTTGGGTAGATTAATCTAAACCGTGCTCACATGGTGCTGAACTCAGAACTGTCAGCCACCACTCAAGAGAAAGTACTTGGAGTCACCACTGAGTGTTCCCTGGAAACCTAAGCTCAGTGTGCCATGGCAGCCAGAACCAGGAAAATGGTGGCTGTCCTCAGAGAGGTAGTGAGAAGAAGACAGATGACACCGTTTTGCTGTCATCTGGCACCATTTTGCTGCTCCAGCTTGGTGCACCCAGGTCTGGGATAGTGTGTGTGGTTCTGGTCTCTGCATCAGAAGAAGGATACAGTGAGTTAGAGAAAGGCAACTGAAAGGGACAAGGGAACCACCTTGCTTAAGAGAAGAGACTTTAAAGTCAGTATTATTCACAGAGGAGATGTCTGGGGTATGATCAAGACTTATGAAATTAAGGCAGTGGATAAAGTGAGTTATTCATCCAGTTTTGCAGCACTGGAATAGGAGTTGCTTGCTGGGGCAGGTGGGAGGGTGGTTTCAGATGTTTACAGGGAAGGATGACACGGGTAGCTGTGGAGGTAGAATGTGGGCAGGCTCAGGAAGGGATTAGAAAGTGGACAGTAAGACTGTTGAGGGACTGTGGTGGTTGCTGGGGTGTGTGTTTGGGGAACAGACTGCAGGAAGCAGACGGGCTCATGTGCCCTCTCAGAGAAGGATCTCTGGTGGCCACTGTTGAAAGCAGAGTACTGGGCGAGAGGGATGGATCTGATCCAGGACAGCAGTTTTAGTGAACTTACGATCAATAATTTTAGTTCTGCAAAGTTCGGTTCTGGATTCTGAACTGTTAGGATTTCCACAAACAGCCTAGAAAAGGCAGTAAACAACAAGGTGATAGTGGGTCAGCTGTGAAAAGCTCCAGAAGGACCCTGTAAGAGCGAGTAGCTGGGTAACATAACATAATGGCACATGAATTCAGCGTAGGTAGAGTGATTCAGATAGCGTCAAAAGAATTCTATCTTCCTGTATGAAATACTGAGCTCTCAGTAGTGGGCAGTATTTTGTAGTTATGATGAATGGTTCTATGAAAATGTAACAGCAGTGACTAAGCAGCAGTGAAAAAGGTAAACCAGATAGTGAATACTATTGAGAAACGAGGTAAAGAACAAACCAAAGAATCTTGTCATGCCACTGGGTTAATAAATGGTTCATCTCAAACACCCTGATCAAGTCACCCTTGGTCTGACTCCCAGCTCAGACAACATGTAGTAGAAATGAATGAGATTCAGAGAAGCAAAGCAAGGATGGTCATGGACATAGAGCCCCTTCCAAATGAGGAATGACTAAGTAAGCTGGGACTTGAAAATTCATCCTAGAAAGGGATGTCTGAGGAGGATATAGATGAAGGTCTGTAGAATCATGAGTGGCATGAAAAGAATGGGTGGGGTCCACTGTCCCTTTTTCCTGCAGGAGACCTGGTGGTCCATAAGTGAAGCTAGCAACACCCTGATTCAGCAAGATCAAAAGCTATCGTTTTTCACAGGTAACTGAGTTGGAGAACTTACAAGAGTATATTGTGAGTATTAGAAGTATTTATGTTGAAGAGGAGAAAGGGCAAATTCAGAGGTGGAGGTGCAGTCAAATATGTAGAAACCCTACCCCTTTTGAATAGAAAAAGCAGTATTATACATACTTGCTCTATTCTGCGTTTTTTCCTGGCCTTTGCTTTTGACCACCATTTGAAAAATTATATTAGGCTCAAATGGACCTTTGCTGAGATCTGCTGTGGCTACTTTTATGTTAGCTTCCTATTCACAGGAGTAATAATTGACATGCACTTTTCTTTTGTACAATTTCTCTTCATCCTTTCTCAAATGGAACTTGTAAAACCTTTTTAAAGAAACATGGGTATTGCTGTTTATTGACTAGACATTGTGTTTCACGTTGAATATTGAGTCTTTTGTAGATAAGTTACTGGTACTTGCTGAGTTACCTAAAGG